TTTTCCATGTTTAACTGTCTCACTCACTTTTCCCCATGTTCTGTATCCTAATCCACCTATCCCCTTCACTGTCATTGTTGTTGCGTTGGCACCATGCTTGTTTTCAAGCCGGTGGTAAATATATATATAATCTATTTTTATCCTGTCCCCGAAATGGCTAAGTCTCTGCATCGCGAAGCAGACCTGGCAGAACTGCTGCAGCATATACTCAACCCTTCACAGATGGCCGGATTTCGCGACGGCGCCACAAATTTCTCAAGTTGGCAAGTGCCAACCGAGCCTTTTGTATGTGCACGGACACTTCATCTGTGATGCGTCCGTCAGGTGAAATACAGCTGCCCAGATAGCAAAATTTGTCTACTTCCTCAGTCAGAGTGAGGCTGGGGCTGGATAAACCTAATCTTCTAACAACGTTTTACACTTTGAAAGTGAAAAACGCATACCGAAGATGGCTACACTGGTATTCAAACTATTCAAAAAAGCTTGCAACTTATCTAGATCTTCATTTCGCAACACGTCGTCTGCATACTCTAGATTAGACAGTCTGCCACCTGGGAGTAAAGCAATGCCGCTATCCTCGCACGAGGAAGGGGCTGTTTGAAGAATTAAATCAATGAAAAAGTTAAACAGAAAAGGAGAGAGGACGCAATCCTGTCAAACACCACTTTCCGTGGTGAATTCAGGTGAAAAAGTGCGCACTCATATCAATCAGATTTTCCAAGAAATATTCGATCTGACGGATGGTAGGGGATAGAATAGTCGGTTCTCTAAGCGAACAATCAAAACGATCATTCTAGTATTCAGCTGAAAGTTCAAGGGGGGAGTAAAACAACTGTACACACACACTATGATGCCCACTTACTCATGTTCAGCTGTCCCGGAGGCCTCTTTTGATCGAGTCTGCGAGTCCGAGGACAACACCGGGCTGCTCGATTTGCATGAGCTTACTTCTTCATCCTCACTAACCCGTTGACAGAACGCGTGTAGTTTCGATATATCTTCAAAAGCACAGTAACCAGGGTCCGAATATCGATCTGAGTACGTTTCGGTTATACCTATTTCTTCAGTAGTCGGTAAAAACTGACGTACACTTTCCCGTTTCATCTTTTCCTCGACCGCGACTTGTTCCCGTTCAACTTCCGTGATATTTTTGAACGCGGCTCGTATTTTCAGAGAGGTCAGATGATTCCAAAAATGATAATCACTGATCTCTAACACAACCTCGATCAGTGCGGACTCGATCGTCTTACCCTCGCCATATTCACATCCTCGAAGTTCGGGTTTCTCTGAGAATGAGAT